ATTATTATATTTCTCTCTGGAACTGGAAAGAATCAAAAATTATTTTACAATGTAAATCTTATGTTCAAGATGTATATAATATAACTTTTTCTAAATATATTCCTGGTCAGTTAACATCCAGTGGAATAGGACATATTAAATTTTGGAAAATGTCTAAAACTTTCACTGGGTTAAAACTTAAAGGTGAAATTGGTAAATTTGGGAATACAGAGATTTCTGATATTATAGCGATTCATCCTATGCCAAATGAAACTGTAAGAATGCATTAAATTAATTTTTTAATAAAACAAAGTTTTGTAAGTTCAAATAAATATTTCAGGTGATATCAGGTTGTGAGTGGGGTAATATACTTCTGTGGGATGAAAGTTTAATTAAACTTGAAGCATGTAAAAAAAATAAGGAAACAGCACATATTGGTTGTATTAGTCAATTTGAGTACACCAATGGAGAACTTATATCTGTTGGTAATAAAGAAATCTATGTGATTAGTAGTAAACAAAAGATACAAAGTGAATTGTAGTACAATGTATGATGTTACAGGATTAGATGGATGGATAAGATTTTGGTTTTATGAAACCATTGATCATGCCAATCTTTCCGATGAAGAACAATTTCTTGAAATTCAACCAATTTATGAATTTCAAATTGAAGAAGAAAAAGAAAGTGCAATGCTTATGAGTATTCAGAAACAAGAACCAAATTATCCTGAAAACACAATTTGGTATGGCCAGGTGAGTATATTATATTTAATTCATTTGCAATGATTGGCCAATATAATGGTTTCCTATGAATCTGTTACTATGTATGAATAGCCACTATAGTGACTGTTCTACATTTAAAGATAATAGATAATTAAATTTTTGATGATATCAAATTATCAATGGAAATAACACATATAATTATGATATACTACATTACTCAACAAATATATCTACAACAGAGTGCATATATCTGGCTTAAGTTATTGAACAGATGTAGCATCTTTTGGCCAGTTTTGCTGCAACAAAATATTTAAAAGATATATCATACCAACGTTTAAAGAAATATTTTGCAGGATGGAAATGGAGGACTATGGTTGCTTGACCTTTGTACTAGTAGAAAACAATTGCAAAAAAAAATTTTTACATGTCATGCTGGCCCTATAGTTGATATGGATGTAGCAGATTGGGGACCCTTTGTAGCTACACTTGATAGAAGTGGCAACTTGCATATTTATAATTATATAGAAAAAAAATTAATTCTAGTTTACAAATTCTATGACAATGGAAGTCAAGTGATTTGGCTTCCATGTAAGGTAAGTACTTTTTATTTTTAAGTATTTTAAAATAATTAAAGAAATACTATTTTACATAATTGTTTAGATTGAAAAAACAGGTTCATCACTTATATGTTCCTTTGAAAGTGGTATTGTTAGAATGATTGTAGTAGCAATGCAAGCAGCATGTACTAAAGATAATATAAAAGGAGATTATATAAAATTAATTCAAGTTTTAAAGCCACATTCAATGCCAATTACTGCAATGTGCTTAAATACATCTTGTAGGTGCGTTCAATGTGAATTAAATAACCTACTATTGTTAATATATGGAATTTGTTTTTAGTTTATTGGTAACAGGAAGTGATGATGCTACTATTTTTACATTTAATATTCATTTTACCAATACTTATCCTACAATTGTACCTATTGGTTATGTAAAACTTCCGTCATCTGTTACTTGTATGGCATGGAATCCTCAGGAAGTATATATAATTTTAAAAAAAAGGAACTTAGAAATATATTTTAAGAAACATAGTAGAAAATAATTTTAATTTTAATTTTAATATATAAATAGGAAGCTACTTTGTTAATTGGATGTTTAAAAGGAGACTGTGTGGAAGTAAAATTACCTGTAATACCTCAGTCATACACAACTATTTCTTATGAACTTATCAAGTGTAGTCCTGTGTCATTTAAATTTGAATCTGTAAAGTCTTCAATAGAACGAGAGGCTATGAAAAAAGAGTATGAAAGAGAAAAGGAAAAGAAACTTGCAGAAAAAAGAAAAGAAATGGAACAATTAATACTAGAAAATCCTCACATTATAATCGATGAAGAAACATTTTTGAGTAATAATTTACTTTGAGTTAGATATCTTATTTTAGTATATAGTTTTTCGATAATTATTGTAATTTATTTTTTTTTTTTAGTGGATCTTGATGAAAAAGAGGTCACTTTTCCAGAAATTTACATTCCAGAAACCCCAAATAAAATTTTAATAGCACAATATGGTATTGATGGAAATATATGGTTATTTATAGCTGGTTTTGATGCAGGATATGTTTACGAATACCCTCGTCCATTATCTGGAAGATTAAAACATAATAAACCAGTTAGGAGTAGAATAATGGAACGTGCAAAAAATATAGAAATTCATAACTTTCTTTTACAGTATGAACATTTAATTATGATCACTTAAAAAGGTAAAAAAATATATAAAAATGACGGATTACATTTCTTTTTAGCAAAACTAAGGAATATTTATTTTTGGGAACACAACATGGAGAACTTTGCATTATTAAGATAAAGGGAAAGGATCCATTAGATTTTTCAGATTGCTCTATTTTATCAATACATGATTATTATAATGGACACATATCTAGAATTTTATTGAGTTATGACAAGAAAATGTTATTAACATGTGGTTATGATGGAAATATATTTGCATTCAAAGTCAATGATAATATATATAATGAAGAGTACGAAGTACCCAAACCAGAATATCCTTCTTTTATGGTAAATTATTTATCATTGAATATGATCGAACGAATTAGTTTAAATAAAATATTTGGAATTACATTTTACAAATGTAGCCTAAGAGTGTTGAAGACATTGAAGATGCTGATTATCCAAATCTGGAAGAAGTAATTACTCAAAAGGAAAAAAACCGAATTATTTCAGTAGCAGAAGAGAAGAAGAAACACATTCTTGAAATCATACGTAATTTAACAGAAGAATATGTTAAAATTACTATAAGGTACATTTTTTTTAATGTAGAAATAATGCATAAAAATAAAATTTTTTCGTAATTTATTATTAATATTA